GAGACTTGGATCAGTCTCTTGGCAACTGGTGTGTCAGACACTCAGCTGAAAACCCACTGCCAAAGTCAAGCAGGCGGCCGTGGTTCGCAGCCACACTTCTCCCAGGTAGCTCTGAAGGACACCAGCTGCTGCCCATGCCAGTTCTCATGGCACTGGAGGGGACAGTACACACCTGACTATCAAACCTGAACATTTTCTTCCTCTGAGGTTAAAAACTAAAATCCATCACAGCTGCAACATTGCAACTCTGCCTTTGAGATAAAGTATATCCACACATAGAGGATGACCCCTCTATCCTTTTCATTTGCTGTTAGGAGATGGTTTGCAACCATCTTTGACACGGAAGGTCAAACGTGTACCTCGGATTTGCTCCCAGGAAGGAAGGTTCTCCTCTTGAAAGTAGTAATGCAAAATCACTTAATTAATAGCTGGACCGAATATAATCTGTGGAAAGTATTTCTGACAGATGGTTTTCATTCTCTTTGCAAAGCCCAATGTATTCAGCTGTCTTTTACAGTTCATACCTTACTAGGCACAAAATCATTGAGATTTTGTCCAATTAGTCCTCATTGGCTCTTTTAAAATGTTTGGTATGACTCTAGATCATATATATGCATCTCCCACACATGCAAATGATTCATAGGCTTTGTCAAAAATGTCTTCTATAAATGCAAACGTTTGTGTCCTATCACTATATTTTGTTTCTACACAACGAAAGGAGACTTTAAAATATAACAGAGGATGCCATTAGAATGTGCTCAGTTGTGTGATCATTTGGCAAAATGGACAAATGTCTCCTAAAGAGTATGTTGAGGTTCCCCAAACAAATTTTACTGGTAACATAAGGCAGGTTGGAGTAAATTCCAGCCATGAAACTCTAGTTCATTAATTTTCTACACCAACTGTCTCTTGCTAATTCCACTCACATAATAAACAGCCTAATAAAAATATACTTTCCTTCTTGGTCTCCATCTGAGAATATTTATAGATGCTGCGTAATATTGACAGGGATTTGGTCATTTTTTGGAGTGTTTTAGCAGAAATTTGAAAGAAGGGTTATACTTGTATCAAAATACAGGAGTGATATTGTGCTTTGTGATTCTAAGGTGATGTAATTTGTCTACTGCTGTTTCTGCCAACTGGTGACCAGACACTAGAGCTGACTTAACCAGTAAGCAGAGTCTACCATCTGGTGGCTGGAGTTGCTGAGTGTACATCCTACACATTCCTGCATCGAGATTCCAGTGGGACCTTTGTCACTGGTAGACAGCAATTTTCTCCCATAACTGGAGTCATGAGGCACCTCCAGCCTGATAATCTTGTCTCCCTCGAAGATTTTTTTTTTAGTGTAATTTACATCTACCTCCATAGTAGATTTTCCAAAAACCAGGGTGAACTTCTTGGTTGCTATTTGGTCGTTCTTTTCCATGGAGTCTGATTAATACCTTTGTGCATAAAAATATTCCTGTCATAGTGTTTGGTGTTAATTGCTCAACAAATTAAATTTTATGAAGTCATACTATCAGCCTGACCTGAAAACTTTCTGTCTCTTTCCCTCGCTGTTCACTGTCTCTGCTACACAAACACTCATTCCCAGAATCTAATACATCACAATAGGAATTGCCACTGAAATGTGAATAATTTTGAATGAATCAACACCCACGTCCACAGAAAATACAGCAATATTGTAATTTAAACACACACATAGACAAATTACCAGAGGTATTCATGTATATCTTTGATACACTGAGGGATAATCAAAGTAAAACCCAATAAAACAAACTTGTTGTTAGTGATTAATCAATGTGTTACTTGTATTTCACGTTCATCGAATCACACGGTGATTGGCAGGGCCTGTATGATGTGAGTCAGATAACAGCTAAGATCTCATTTATCTTTTCAGATATGCTTTAATACAAGAACAACAGAAAGCTGAAACTATCTTCACATTAGGTAGAGGACTGAAATGTCTGCAAATAATTTAAACCATATTAGCGTATGATAATGTTGACAGTAACAAGATAGGAATGACTGGAACAATCTAAACACTGAGGCAGTAAAGTGGCTTTTAAGTACCTAAACAAAAGATCACTGCCAAGCAAAAGACATCCAAAAAGCAGAAAAATGTGTGATGTTCAAGAAAGATATAAAGGATGACTTCATCCCAAGTTTCTATTGTGCCTCTCGGTGCACGGGAGAGTGTTTTGCATATTCTCTTTTCTCTGCAGTGACTGCACCCGATTAGTCTCTTCAACACACAATCTAACAATAGGAAATGCTATCCACAAAATGGGTTATTTCACACAATAAAAGAAAATCTTACTGAACTATCTTCTGAAAATGATGTACAAAAGGCTATTAAACAACATGCATCTGGCAAGTCAAATGGTTCAGATGGCACACAAATAAATCCACATACTATTGCTGATTTCCAACTATTAAGACATCTGCTGAAAATCCTCCAGTTAATAGGAGCACAAAATAGCTTCTTCCAGACTTGACTATTTCCCTTATCTATCACGTATCCTCTGAAGGAGCGGGGGATCAATCACTGTCTATAACAACCAACTTGGTAGCGATTTCCCAGCCATGGCGGGCAAAGGTATCGCTCATTTGGTGCTGTTCATCGGGAATTTTTTCCCCCCGGTTCACATCCTGTCGCTTTCCAGGGTCAGATAAGCAAAACCAAAATGTGCTGATCGTGACTCTCGAGAAATCCATTGCAAACCAAAGAGGCAAATTCTCTTACAGGACTCTAACTAGATGGAGTTCTGCTTAGGTCAGGCATAAATAACCAAGAGAAAAAGACAGGAACACGCCAGTGCACAAGTGGAAGAGCAGAAATCCCTCGGCATCAATGCCAGATCTTACTGCCTTAAGATTCATATCATCATTTCATGGTTAATGCCTGACTATGATATTTTGACAAGGAGAGGATCTAGACACCGAGGTGTAATGAAACTGATTAAAGCAATAACAAAGTCTTACAAAGCAGCACGCAGAAACTACAACTGAAAACTACTGTCATACACTAAGTAAGAGTCATTTAAGGACACAGACATTAGCAATGAAATGCTATTCATGCAAATACAGCCAAAAAAATGAAAAGATCCCCCCAGTGCAAGTGCCAGCCCTAATTCCTGCAGACCTTCACCACAGTCTTGGTGATAGGAAGGACTCATGGTCCACTTAAAAATTAGTGGGGTATCTTAGTTCACAGTGGGATACAGTATTAAGAATAATTTTTGTCCTGCAGAAAGCAGAAAGGAAATTACATGCTAAATATTCTACCTTCTCTCTCTGACAAGCTGTGGAAGGTTACTACAAATGGATAATTTAACATTTTTTTTAAGCCATACAAAGAGTATTCAGCACTGACTCTGACACTTCACAGTTTGCACACTTATCAGAGGGGTTACACTCCTATAGTTATCTCCAAAGGGATTTTTAGACACTATATGGTGTTTTTACTGAGTTATATCTGTAAAACTCTTTGAATATAAAACTGTTGTCTGTAATTAGAGGAATTCAACGAGCCTGTGCTCGCACCAGGTACCAGGTGGCTTCATTTCAATCAGTTTTCCAAAGAAAAAGAAGTAACCCAGTGAGGGTAAATGAACTTAATTTGACTCAGCAGAGAGAGACATAATGGGCCACTTACATTCCCTTTATTATAAGTACTTGCCTAATTTCATTGGAATAACTGGTAAATCTGTACATTGTTTCTCCAGGATTATTTAACATTCCCTGACTTACCAACCACCACCTATACTTACTTTCAATGGGAAAGCTATAAGGCAGGTGTGGGCACAAAAAGGAAAAAAAACTGGGGTAGATTCCACTTATTTTCCCCAGGGAACAGGAAAAGTAAAGACAACTCTGGTCAGCTTGGCTTGGCAGCAAAATGCACTGTCACTCCAAAGCATCCAAGTGCTTAGGAATGTCAAGGAGTAGCTGCATATTTGAGTCCTTCAGGTTCCCTAGAAACTCCTGCTGCCTCAGATATTTGAAGGAAACACAGCTAAGCAAGGATGACTAATGAAAATTTTGAATATTCCTTCTGAACTGTATTCTTCTCTTTAGGCTTAACATAGCAATGATATTTTTAAGGCTGTGAGATTTGTATCACAGCTTGCAATAGATTAGCTGACAAGATAGTTGAACATTATGAAAATGTAAGGGGGAGTAGATGTAAAGGTGGGGAAAAGACAGAAGAAAGGAAAGGAGGAATCAAAAGCAAAGAGAACAAAGGAAAGAGGTTCACTGAGTCATTTATATCCCACAGTTGAGCAATAAAACATCGTTACCATCAATAAGCTCCTATTAAAGCAGTTGGAGATGAATTAAGGAAGGTTCAAAGTAAGACTAGGAGAGGACTTTAGATTAATTTTGTGTTTAAAGAATATTTAAAAGGGTGTTGAGAAAGGCAAAGTATAAAGTTCATGGTAATACCAGCACTGCTTTGTAAGACATTGTAGTTTGTTGTAAGACGTGGCTGTGTCCAGACTTTCTCTACACTTTTTCTCTTATGTTGAACATTTTTTTCTCCTCCTATTATGCTGAGCAACGTTGTTGATCCCCTCATTCCTACACCAGATTTGGGTTTTCCACCACAATCATAAAGTTTTTACTGCTACAAGCTCTACTTGGCCTCCACACTGGTGCACAACTGGGACAGAGGATGGGGTTGTATCATCTCTCTTGACTCAAGAGTGAAAGAGCAGAAGAGAAGAGCAGTGAGAGGGAATAACTCTTTTTTGCCTCCATTCCCCCCTTTTCCATATGAACATGATGACTCATTATGACAGAAGTGTAATAAATTTCTAAAAAGGCAGCCACAAAACTTGTATTTTTTTTTCTGACAGGCACAGATACATAAAAAAAAAAAGCTCACACATTCAATGATATAGGATTAAATTATCCCCTGCCAGCTTTTGGGGTAATATTTAAACATTACATCCTACAATGAAGCTCAGTTCTAAACTGCTGCATCTGATTTATAGAAGTAAACAGCACAAACTCCAAGTGTAACAGCGCTGTAATGTCTTTATGTTGCAGCAGGGCTATCAGTTAAAAAAAAAAAAAGACTTTTCTTTCCTTACTCTGACTCTAAACTGCACCAGCCCTGGTGAGATGGAAATTACTCCAAGCTTTCTCCTTGGAAGAAACTTCTTGCCCTCTTCTCTTGGTTTTTGGAGAGCAGCACAGTGCTTCTCATGATCTGGTATCACTGACTCAGCTCTAGAGACCAGGATTTACATCAGGAACTTTCCAGCTCTGGATGGAGGCACCAGCTCGCCATGTGCTGTGGGAGAAGCTGCCCCCCTGCACCCTCACTGCTCCCAATTCTTCAGGCAAGGTTAAGTACATGTAAATTAAAACTGCAAGCTATTTTTGTATAAAGTCGGTATTACTAATTTGTTAACTATGACAATTTCACACAGAAACCCTTTTGTTGGAAACTGAGTTTCTCATGTAATAATTAGCTGTGGAATATTACCCCAAACAGGTGTCTGTAGCCTGTCAAAGTCAGAACAGGTGATTTAGAATTAGCGTATTAAAAGAACTGTGAATTAGCGAAGCAAAAACGTGTTAATTTCTTGTTCCATCTGTTAATATGAATTCACTGCCAAATATTTTACTTTGTAGAACTGTGCTGGGATTGGCAAGAACATACACTATAAAAAAAAAGTTTAAAGGCCTGAATGTTTAAAAATCATGACATACGTTACTGCAAAAATAACTTCTACATTTGAGCAAGGTTTTTTCTTTTGTATCTTTTAAAACTTCATAGTCAAGAACACCAGATAATCCATAAAATTAAGCTAAAAGCTCTCACACACACACAAAAAATAATTTTAAGGCTTTCAAAACCGAGTCTGAATGCAGTGTCACAAGAAAATGTAAGGAAAATATTATGAATTGGCTTGGATAAAAACTACAATCAATGTTTTTATTCTGTCTTGAAAATATTCAAATACTCAAGATATTGGAGATGTGAATAATACCGGTATTAAACATAATACTGCTGTCTACCTGTAAAAGCTCTGTCCTATCTGTACATGAGCATAGATCCCATGAACATCCCATTCCTCAGTCTTTTGTGATGATCAGCATGTTATGAGCAATGGCAACAACCCTAAAACTACCTGTCTGACACGTCTGATTCTTCACAATAGTATTTATAGCAGTAGGAATGACATGGCTTTTTATTATAATCCTCACCTTCATGTTCTTCTCACTGGATGCTGGAATACTGAGCTAGTGGAGAATCTGGAACATGTCTGGATGGTCAGTATGACAAACCCACTGCACACGAAGTGGGCTTAAAGACTGATTTTAAAGAGTCTATAGTTCACGTTTGCTATTAGCAAAAACAATGTTTTTTATGGCTCTCCTGTCTTTCAAAAAAAGAGAATATTTTTAAAGCATTTTAAATATAATTACCCAGCAATGTATTATACATATCCATCAACTATTAATGAACACCAGGTATAAATGTCCAACTCCTAATATATATGACTAATGACTGCAATATATTTCCTACTGTGAGTACTTCTCTACTTTTCTAAGCTTTTCAGGGAAATGCCCAGTTTTGTGTTTGCTCCCTGCTGTGCCTGGTGCTTCTCTGACCCTGCACCCTTTAGAGTTTCAACAGCTGATTTCTTCTATCAGTCACCAGCTGTCCTGCCCTGGAGAACATCTTGCACAAGTTGGTTCACAGGTATGAACACCAAGATTATGGCTCCAGCCTGTATTTACATGATATCCAACTGTTTGAATTAAATAATTTGCCCTCAGCCTTTTATTTTTTTCCTGGAAGGTGAGGAGGTGCAGAAGCTCAGAGGAAGAGGAAGATCATACATTGAAGTGGATGAAGGAGAAAGCTAAAGATGTTGACATGTATAGAAACCTCTCATTGACCTCCATCTTGGTGCATTGCTCACCAAAAATAGTTATACAGCTAATCCTGCCATCATTTGAGTCTCTGTTGTGCCAAGATTTTCCAAGGTAAGAGGCAGCTAGCATTTTCAGGCCTGGCATTCAGGGTCATAAATCAATTTGCACTAAAATTGTCTTAGGAGACAAATATTGAGGCTGTGCCTGCCCCAGCCCTGAAAGTGTTCAAGGTCAGGTTGGGTGGGGCTTGGTGCAACCTGGTCTAGTGGAAGGTGTCCCTGCCCACAGCAGGGGGGCTGGAACTAGAGAATCTCTAAGGTCTCTTCCAACCCAAACCTTTCTAGGATTCTGTGATTCTATGAATAAGCATTTGCTTTCCCAATCTAGCCCCTCATCACACATCCTGATGCAACAAATAAAGAGATTTTTAGCTCTTTTCCTGCAACTTGCATTGCAGGACACCACCCAGCCCCCAGGCACGTTGTTACTTTAACATCTTTCCCCAAATTGTATTTTCTAGCACGAAGAAATCACAGAGAAACCCATATTGCCACTTGGATTACAGGAGAGTGAGAAGATGCACACCCAATTACTGCAAAGCGTTCCAAGCAAAGCTTAGAGATACGCAGCAGGTTCTTAACTGCAAATGATATGATAGGTAGTTTCTCCTCCCTAGTTTTCTGCCACATCCAAGAGATTAATACTTACATGAATCATCTGTAATGACTAGCATAATTTAGGGAAGTGAATGAGATTTTCTGCATTATTTATATTATGAACTCACAAGAATATGAATGGTGGCTTATGTAAATTCAAACCATGTTTACAGTAGCAAAGTGCAGAGAAAGACCGCAAGGGTTAAGCTGATATTTCCAGGGTTGGAGCTCTTTGTATCAACACTCGATTGCTTATTGCTTTAGTGCTGAGTGATGTGAGTTACAGCCTATGAACTACATATGGGAAACTTTTATTGTTTTCCACATTTGAATGGAAAAATAATTATGTCGCTCACATCTTTCACATACTTAAAGTAAATGCATCAAATTCTTTCTCAGGGTGTGGGCCTGAATTCTTATATTTAAAAAACGAAGGCTGCCAAAGTTTTGACCTTCGAGTAATAAAGGTTATTTTTTTTTCTTTCTTTCTTTCTTTTATTTTTTTAATGCTTGATAATTCAACCTAAATGTCAGCTTCAGCTTTAAAATAGAACACATCTATTTGCTCATAATATTTAAGAAATACAATGTCATTATGCTGTTATCAGTGGTAAAACATGTCTAATCTTGATATAGCATCACCTTTAACAAATGCTTGTGGGAAAAAACTAGCGAATGCATAAAACATTTTATGTAGTTTTAAAATATACAATACATTAAAGTTTTAGTTGACTTATCTGAAAAGACATATTTTTGGCACATAAATAAAAAAAGGCAAGGGAAGAACTTGTCAGAAGGCAAATAAAGTATGTAAATTAAATCAAAGGTAAGGCAGCTACACTTTTTGTATAAATAACTGTGTTAACAGATTTTTATGCATATTACAATATATTCAGATGTATTACTTCTGCAAAAACAAATTCGTTGCTTCTTTCCAAAAAACGGATTAAAACAATTTATTTTATAAAATTTGGATGGATAGGATAAGAAATGTAATAGCTATCTATGGAAAATAAATATAAAAATTATTCAAGCTCCATCTACTTTATGTTAGTAATGAGATGCACTTCATTCAAATTCCTTTCAATTGAAACAGTGCTGAGAAAGCAGGAACATGATTCTGTAGGAAATGATTTCTAATCTTCATGATAACATACCAATATAATACAATTATTTACAATTGACTAAGAGTTAATTCCAATAGTATAACATCTTTCCTGCAAAAATGTCAGCTTTTATTGATGAAACAAACTAAGAATAAAACATTTTTACTTGTAGTCTAACTGTGCTGTTTTTCATTCTGTTAACCAAAACAACACAGCAATACTGTAAACAAAAAAATAGCATCAAACTGGCTGTGTTTGCATGATTTTTATCAAGAATCAGAAGCAGTAGAAGGAAGGGCTTTGGGATTTTTAAAGCATTAAAAATAGTTTGAGAAAATAAATTATTCTTTACTTTGTTTGTTTATTTGGGGGGGGATTTTCTTTTCAAGATATTGAACATGAATTCAGTCAGAAGACATCACCAGTGTCCATAGGCAGAGATCACGTACCATTATAAAAATAATTGCAATTATGTTGCAACAATCATATTTTTAAATGCCCAACTGTCATGTTGCTTTTGGGTTTTATTTTGAAAAATTAATGTAAATAACAATAAAACAAAGAGTTAACATTCAATCCCTTTTCTGTACTCCGAATTTTGATGTACATGGCAGGACTATTTTCACCGAAGTCTGAATATTATTTTACTCTCAGCAATTCTCTTGCCTTAGAAGACTTCACCAATAATGTATCTTGATACTTCTACAAAGAAGTAAATATGGTTTAACTGCTTCTCTGTCTTATAATCTGGGGGTACTGCTCAACATTGTCAAGCATGCTCTAAGTTACCAAAAACAACAGAATTTCTCTTTGCAACTACAGAGACATTTGTGCAGCATTTTGAGCTCCTTTATCACACCCATCAACACCTTGACCCAACCTCATCCCTCCACTCTGAGCACCTGTTTTGCTCTTATGACACACCTGAAATGAGGATTCACCAAGGCAGCCTGAGAGGAAAATTATTATAGAATCCCAGACTGGTTTGAGTTGGAAGAGAACTTAAAGCTCACCTCACTCCAAACCCCCTGCCATGGGCAGGGACACCTTCCACTAGCCCAGGTTGCTCCAAGCCCCATCCAATCTGGCCTTGGACACTTCCAGGGATGGGGCAGCCACAGCTTTTCTGGGCAACCTGTGCCAGGGCCTCACCACTCTCAAAGGGAAGAATATATCATATATATCAAAGGAGAAGATAAATACTCAGTCTGTTTTGGTGTGAAGGAACACAACAGGTGTAGGCAATGATAAGACATAGTGCTGGCCTGAAGACCATTGATGAAGACTTTTCTACTAGATTTTTCTCCCCTCTTTGGTTCTGCAGCTGTTTGAAAAGATAAAATTATTTTAACTCTTTTCTTATGTCAAGGCCAGGAAAAAAGATGCAGTGGTGTGCCAAGACACGAAACCACAAGGAACCAAAATTCGGAACAAAAGCAGTTGCTTTGTCCAACTCACATGGGGTTGCCCTCCTAAACTCCTTCCACTAATATTTAAGAGCATGAGCAAGTATACCCTGGTAAACAAAATACAGAAACTCTGCCTTATCTCTTCACGTGGGCTGGCCCAACAAACTCAAATGCTAACACAATAAAAGGAAACAGGTGGCTGAGAGAAATATCTTATATCCTCTAAAGCAGCTGCCTTACAAGAAATTCAATCTAGGTATCCCGAACAAGCTGCCTTTTCATCAAAGAATGCTTACACCAGGGATGCACAGTATACCTACTCAGAACATGTCTTGTATCGAACTTTCCACCACCAACTGGTTCCCTTTGATTGGCACAATTTTGGCAGGTAATAATATTTGTATTTTTTAAGAGCAGCGTTTAATTTGTTTACAACAGGTGCTCACTTTCCACTCGCACAGAGGAGCCATTGTTCCCCATGGCCCCGGGATATGACTGGAAATCTCACGTTACTGGTTTTCTCCAAGGAGCACAGCAGGAATGATTGAACTGACCTCCCAAGTTTCAGCAGTTTGAACTATTTGAAGCGCAGGACGCAGAGTTGCTGGAGCAGGTTGGACTGTGTGAGAAAGGATCTATGTAGGTGATGACTGACAGGACATACCCCTTGCATGAGGAGAAAAAGGGTTTACCATGAAACTGTGCATTACCACTGTAATCTCTGTATCCTTTAGGGCAGAATGGGAACTGGCACACAGGTAGCAAGTATTTCCAACTACTTAATTTAAAAGTTGAAATTTTCATTATGAAGAAAAAACAATTATTCTGCTTAAAAGCCACTTAAAATCCATAAGATTTTGATATAACTCAAATAACTACTTATAACGTTAACCATAAAACAACATGGATTTCTAAACAACCACTCTGCAACACCCCCCAGCCTAGAGCTTAAAATATTAAATATCTCTAGCCTTTTACTTTGGTCCTAAAATATGCAGACTTAACTAAATCTGCCCTGGAAAGCATGGAGAATTGTCTTTTAGATATGGATAGATACGCTTCAGACATACATCTCTGCATAAAGAACTCTCAACTTTCCTTTTGACGTTATCAATAAAATATTTTCATTTTCTATTAAATAGAAGAATATATGTGAACTATATCACCATAAATCTAAATACGTTCCTTTACAAATCTGCAGAGATCTCAGTGTTTAATATATGAGAGAAAACCTGTTTAAAGAGTTTGAAAATCCTGAACTTACTACTGAATCCTTTGGAATTTAAGAGAAGTTGTGACACGTAATGCTGGGAGATGGGTGCTTTTATGGGAAGTCGTCTCTCCACATGATGCAGCAGCACATGGAAAGGCAGATGGAGAGAGGCTGTACAGGTAACTAAGGATAGAAGGTGGTGTAGGGTGGACAGGTACAAAAGAAAGAGCTCAGAGTACTCTGTCTTCTAAGTCATTAAATTCACTTCTTCTTGTCATTGGTATGATCTCCATCCTGCCCTCCCTGTGGCTGCTGTGGTTGACAAAATGTCTTTTATTATCTATCCTCTGGGAAAGGGGAAGGTGGACAATGGACTGAGCAGAGATTCTTGACAACATGCAAGTTATCGACTGACAGCCCTAAAATCTGGCAATATGTCTGTTCAGTAGAGGCTTTGTACACATCTGGAAAAACGTTATTAGTGAGCTGGAATGGTGAAGATTTTCTGGAATACCTTAAACAGCCACACAGTTCACATTTTGTTGTGCTGGTTTTCACTGTGCCTTGAAAAGCCAGGTTTCTTGCTTGTGCTCTATTCATATTTAAAGAGCAAATATAATTGTTAAAATAGCAAAATATCTGACTTTTTGAAAATAACTACTGATCATAGACAGCAGCTCTTAGCTGCAGCTGTTTCCATCATGACACTAATTCCCCATTCATTTGAATGGGGCTTAATGGTGCTGTCATAATAATCTTATTGTGACACCAATGGAAGTTCATGGAGACAATGCAACAATGTTAAGATTAAATAAATTGATGTCCCTACTGTGATATGTTTAGCACCGTATTCTGAAATTTCTATATTTGGGGAGCTTAATTATATAGAATTTATTAGTCTGACATATTAACCTCATTTTTATGGCTTCCTCGAAAGCTTCCAGATTTAATTAAATAATTCTCAATAGCTGCACAAGCTATTGCCTTCTCCTGAATGTATTCATGAGACCTCTCTGTTCGACACAAAACGTGGTGTCAGGTTGTAATGGCAAAGTATTTCTGGCATGTCATTGTCCTGTTGGAAATCCAGAGTCCAGCTGGCTTTAGTTTTTGTGTATATTACATTTGTGAAACCCCACACTTTACAGATGATTAATGAACCACTCTATAGATGGCTGTACAAATACAAAACCTGGGTTTGTGCAGCAAGACCCAAGTATATAGCAATAGGTGGAAGAGAACTTCCTGAAATTGGAGAAACCATGTCAAATAGAAAAGAAACATGTAGACAGATTTTTGGAACTGACCACAGTACATATTATAAAAAGATACAGATCAACCACTCAAAACTTTCAACTACAGAATTAACAAGCATTGTTTCCACTGTCAAAAATTTAATCTCATTTTGATTTTATTTCACATCCCTGCTTAAGCCTTGTATTGAAAAGCATATTGGATGTTAGCTCAATCTGTGGAAATATCAATTTCATAATCAGAATCTCAATATGGGTGAACTGTGCGCTTCGCTTCTAAAATTAATAAGTTTCAAAAAAATGTAAAGGGAGCAACAAAGTGTTCCCGAGCCCTGATCCTTGTCTGTAACCACAGGTGCCTGCTCTCCCCAAGGCAGAGGTACCTCACAGCTTTTGACGAGCACTGTAATATTCCCTGTCAATTTTACATTCTGCTTGGCAGCAGCAGAAACCTGACAGGCATCAGCAGAGTGATTGGCAGTACCATGCCTGATAATGCGAGTCAAAGCAATTGGCAACAGCACCACTATCCCCCTCACAGAGTCCAGAATTTACTTATAATCTCACAGGTGACCTTCAATGATACAGGCTGGAAGGTCATGGAGAGGAGATGGCTTTTTATGTCCCTTAAAAATTATTGCTGGTGTATTTTTTTTATGCTTTATTAGAAAGTGAACTAAAGCAGCCCCTGATCTGGGATATTTCGGCTGCATTACCTTGTAGGGGCTGCATGGCCTTGGATTAGAAACAGTAACTTTTTTTGGCGTTTAATAACTTATATGATTTCTAGCCTTGTATTTACACCTTTGATTTCCCCAACTGTAAACAAATTTAGTGAAGCCTTTCTGAAAATTGCTCTCCAGATTAATCAGCTAATATTCACAGTGAAAGCTGAACAATGAAAGTCTTGCACACATTCATCACCTCTTGATGTCTGTCCAGGCTCAGCCTTGCACCTACAATTAGGTTTCCATGGGATCACAAAATTTTTGTCTGAGAGCTCGTTCATGAGT